AATAAAAGAAACGTATAAGAAAATAACTTTGTACACTATAATTGTTAGATTCCACCCACTGGCTACAACAAGATTAAGGCGGCAAATTAAGAAAATAAAAACATGTGAAACATATTAACAAAACCAAGTATCACTTTCTTACATGTGCAAGATACTTAAGATAAGTTGAGTATCGGATAGTGGTTAATAGGGATCTCCCTAGTAATTATCTTTTGTGAATTATAGATTTCAATACTTTCCAGGGCCAGGCTAACAACTGAAGTGCTACGTAATATGCCTTCTAAGGTGGAACTCATCATTGATTAAAGTCTAAAATCTAAATCGAAACATCCGGAAGTAGATTGTTGTACATACAGAAAAAATGAAATCGTTAAACCAAAAAAAAAATGAACTCGTTAAACAAAAAAAAAAAAATTAAACCAGACGTATCTTAGTTTTAAAACCAAAATGAAGAATGATTTTCAAACAATTAATTCCAGTAGTAACCATTTAAATTAACGTTTGTGCATGAGTTGCTATAGTTTTTTTTTTGTAAATTTTTTTTGGACATAAGACATTTGTTTGTTAGTAGGTCTATAGCCACTATAGCTCAGTGTATATCCAATAAAGTTTTCAAATCTAGTTAGGTGATATTTGACATTATTTAAAATGTTCGGCCAAGATGAGAAGTGATGCACACCATAGGAGGCTACTTGCTACATTGGTCACGCTTCTCTTTCTCTTCTATTAAATAATTCTGATTCTTTTGAATTGAATTGGCCACTTCGACAAGTTAGGAACGGAATATTTTGATGTAAAATCGTTTGCTTTTCCAGTTTTCCTAACAAAATCTTAGTACCTAACTTTTATGCTATTATATACCAGTTGTGATAATGAGGTAGCTATGAAAATGCATCATATTTTATATAAATGTTTAATAAGAACCATATATATTATTATTTTTTGATTAATCTGATAGTATTTCGTGGTTATGAAAAAGTTCAAACTAATTTTAAAAGAGAATTACAATTCACATATAACTTTTTTTTTCAAGAATCCAAATGGGTTCTAAGCAATGTATATATATATTTTTGTCATCGTTGTTTATATTAGCCATTGATCTTAGAAAATCAAACAGTGCTACAAAATGTATTTATAGTGTTTTGTGCTTTTTTTTAATTAACTTGAGAGTATCTTAGGCATATGGAAAGACCTAGACTAATTTTCAAAAGGGATGTGCAGTCCACGAATATATTCTATTTTCGAACATTCAAATGGATCCTAAAACATGAGTTCATATCCGTGTTAGATGATCAAGATAATTGTGACTTAATTTTACGCAATAGATGGATCGAACTTGAAATATGTTGTGTTCCAGTCCTACCACTTACCATAATCAACTGGTATATTTATAGTGTTACAAACCATATGAATAAACAGATAAACTAACTCAACAAGAATCGAATTTGAAACATCTTTATAACTTAAAACATATGATCCTTTTTAAGAATATAAGAATGCATACACGAACTAACGAATTCATACAATTGAAAATGTACTAGATAACATTTACGAAACATGAAAATGATCTTTAAGGTTAAGAAATGATCAATGCTTTATTTCGTTATACAGGTTTTTAAAAAAGAACATCAGGTTGGTTACTCTTAGATTAAGCTGTTTAACTAATATTAAACCAATGTTACATTTGACTTCGAAAAAGGCCAACTCCAGTCCCGAACTAAGTGTTTCAAATCAAACCAACTCGATTCTAAACCACAAGCAATAATATATAGATAGTTTCGATAAATATGTTGACGCAGGTGGAGTCGAGCTTGTTTTAACGCGTCGTAGTTTACAAATTAAAATATATCCAAGGTGATTATATACTTTTGAAATATAGTTGCATGCATGTCTGGAGTAATTTCATAGACCCTTGTAGTTGCGATGAAGGCATTCGTATATATTACTAAAATAATCTAGACCCTCGTAGTTGTGATGGGTGCATTCGTATATAACTAATATAAGTACTAAAATAATCTCACATATACATCAATCCCAAGATAACACTTAAATGTTATCAAATATCGAGTAGTAAATTCACTAAACAAAACTTGGTTTCAATGCAAGAGAGTCCTAGGATTACGCAGCGTTGTATTTTTCCATAATATAATAATAACAATACAATTTTTAATGTTCACTACAATTTTTTTTTTAACACTGATTGATTAAATCATTATAATACTATTATCACAGATAATATTATGTGATATTGATGAACTTTCGCAACTCCACAACATAACTTTCACTTAATATTTGGATTGACAGTCAGTTTTGTATTTGCCACAGTTTTGATGGACAAAGTCCCTCTTCAACACACAATCACAATAAATGGTTATGTCTACATCTATACTATTATTTGCAAAGTGATTTTTCGCAACGGGACTTCTACATTAAAAGTTAGAGTGGTTAATATCGTTTATACCCTTAATGAAAATAATATATAAATTACATACAAAATAAAAACGAATGTAAATTATTTTGATTAGATAAATAAATAAAATTAATAATAATCATAAGAATTATCCAAAATCTAAATAATATCTTTTTAAATAAGATAATTTTGATATATATTGTGATACCTGAAAATATATTTTGATAAAAAATCAACAATTAAAAAACTAGAAAATACATAACTTAACATTAATCAAGTCAACTTCTAAATTTTATATAATTGAAAAAAATATTATTTGATTTTAAAATTCTTTTTAATAGTGAACATAAATTTTTAAAAATATATGTAAGGATTGTTAAATGAAAGATAAATATTATTGGTTTCAAAAATAAAATATAATTAATACTTTGTCATTATAATCTTTCAATTAGTAAAAGATGTTTTAATAAAATAATCTATACTATTATTTGTGAAACGGAACTCCCACGTTAAAAGTTAGAGTGGTTAATATCGTTTATACCCTTAATGAAAATAATATATAAATTACATACAAAATAAAAACGAATGTAAATTATTTTGATTAGATAAATAAATAAAATTAATAATAATCATAAGAATTATCCAAAATCTAAATAATATCTTTTTAAATAAGATAATTTTGATATATATTGTGATATCTGAAAATATATTTTGATAAAAAATTAACAATTAAAAAACTAGAAAATACATAACTAAATATTAATCAAGTCAACTTCTAAATTTTATATAATTGAAAAATATTATTTGATTCTAAAATTCTTTTTAATAGTGAACATAAATTTTTTAAAAATATATGTAAGGATTGTTAAATGAAAGATAAATATTATTGGTTTCAAAAATAAAATATAATTAATACTTTGTCATTATAATCTTTCAATTAGTAAAAGATGTATTAATAAAATAGTTACAAAATGTATAGGCCCGCAAATGTGGGCGAAACACCTAGTAACTCTTAAATTTTTAATAAATTTTTACATCTTATAGTCTATAAAAATAAAAGTTTAAACCTGATCTCCTCTAAATTCGAAATATGCTTTTATAGGAAGATTACAATATGCAGCTCAAATAGTCGCTTTTGATATCACTATTAATCTTATAATCTATAAAAATAGAAGTTTAAACTTGATCTCCTCTATATTCGAAATATGCTTGTATTAGGAGGATTACAATCAGGAGCTCAAATGGTCTCTTTTGAAATCACCATTGATCCTATATATTCTTGTTGTGCACCTTGTGAGTGCATTTGTATCCGTGAAGGCAATCATCCTCGGATGTTCCCTTAACCCAACCAGGGAACGGAATCTATAAATTACTATGCCGAGAAACTTCCACGAATAACTAAGTTGCATCAAATCAAAAAAGGATCATACCCGAGACTAACAACTAAAAACAATCTAGCTGGTGTTAAAAAATGAATCGAAGAAATGATAAGACAAATCAAATGTTTTAAATGTCTTTCTCTATTGGTTTAAAGAGGGCTCACACTGAAGTTATTAATTAAACCAATATGATTAACCAAGCCATGTATTTAGATTATTTTTTCAAAATATTATAATTGAAGTTGCTTAGAAGCTCTCAGATTTTAGATCTGCCAAGCTTTGACTCAACAGGCGTCAATAAGTTAAGATTTTTAATTGTTTATTATATTTTTAAAGAAAGCATCACTGATCACCCAGTTTTTTCTAATGCATACACATATATTTAAACAAGTAGTGTTTTTTATTTTAATAAAATGAGATGGCATTCATGGGTTCGATGTATTTCAACACCAGTTTCAAGTACATTTACAAATAAAAATTATTATCATTGAAAGTGACAATTAGTAAACTAACATGCTTTGCGTTTCATGTTATCTGAAATTGTAGAATGGTTTGATCCATGCATATATCTATGGGCTGTCGTTTCTAGTCAAAACTTTGATCGAATACTAAATTAAACACACTTGTATATCATTTCGTATGCTCTTTTTGTGAATCGAAAAAGAAAACTTTTATACAAAGGGTTTCTTAACTTATACGTTACCATAACTTCTGCATTGTTATTTTAAACCCAAGACTCCCACGGTTTAGTAAGAAAGTAAGTTCAGGTCCACATTCCGTAGTTGGCTCCATTCTACACGTGCAAAACCATCTTGTTCTCAAACCCAATACTGGTACATATACATGATAATACATGTATTATACTATTATATGTGCGTATACGCAATCGTATGTCTCTTTGTAGGATCCGCACAAGCGTGTAAACGGAAGAGACGGTGGATAATGAAGGCCCACACATGTCCATGTCACCTCATCTCCCGTTTTTTTTTTTGCCAATTCATAATTGTAGTCTTGCAAGTTGTAACCATGTGACTTGTCAGTGATGACACACCATTATCTACAGATTCTATTTTCCCTTATGGGCTTTTTAACAACTACCCAAAGGCCCATACAATTTTGTATCCCATAAGCCCATATTGCTGATCTTGATTGAGGTGAAAACGCACGGTTGACGTTTCGCCACGTCACCTTCAACTTATCAAAAACCACAAGTCCTTACCAATTAGACAAGATTTACGTACAGCGACCATGGAAGTGGTGGCGTTTCCGTACCACCACCGTACTCCTCCGCCAGATTTTCCATCACGTGAAACCGGAAAGTTAGCAGTTAACCGGAGTGTACTTCCTCTACGATTCAGCAATGTTAGAATGACAAAGCTGACGTATGAAGGAATAATCTTAACGCAGAAATCAAGAAAACTGACGGTGGTGGAAGCAGTTTCCGGCGGCGGAGTTTCACTTCCGCCACTGGATTTGACGGAGGATAATATCCGTCTGGTCCTAACAGAGGCTCGCGTCGAGGTACGTTTTTTTTTCTCTCTTACTTACAGTTTGCCTAGTTCTTGATTGGTACGGGAGAGATTTAGAACCGGTTTACGATACCAGGATTTAATTTAAGAACCGGTTTTGTGATTGGTACAGCTTGCACAACTCTTCGATTTATCGGTTGGGATAACAGGACAAGTTGAGTTGGTGGAACTAGACGGACCGTTCGTTAAGATAAGTCTAAGAGGCAAGTTTTGGCACACACGTGCAATGGTTCTAGCTCGTATCGGAAACTACTTGAAGCAGAGGATCCCTGAGATTCTTGAAGTTGAGATTGAAGATGAGAAGCAACTCGATGATAGTCCTGCAAATTTCTAAACTTTGTTATTTCGACACCAATATCGATATTCCCTTTTGGTTGCTTAATGTGACATGTTTATGAGTTGTTTATGCTTGGTCACATATATCAAAAGTACTTTAGGTTCATGTATATTTAACAAATCTGTCTAAGACCAATTTGGGGCCCATAACTTATTCCTGAGTTCAATTAGATTTTATTTGGGTTATGGTATATTTAATTATCATATCCATAAAATAAAATTTAAATTTAAAGTCCTTATTTATGTTTTGAATACTTATATTATATCATATAAAATGATTCAAGTTTTTGGATTGGGATTTTTGAATGTATTCGGATTATTAGGATTTTCGAGTTTTTTGGATTAACGTTTTTAAGTTTGATATTGTATTCTTCAACTTGTATAGTTTACAATTTTACATGTTTTATAGCTCGAATCGGACACAAATTCAGTTTTTTTTTGTTTGATTCAGTTTGGATTTTGGCTACGCCTATCAATATCTTTATATGTATATAACATAAATAATAATACCCATGGATAATCACGAGATAACGAAACATATAGTTTAACTAGGAGTAGTAAAACTTTACTAAGTTTTCCTAACACTCTTTGGACAAGAAAGTTTCAAAACCATTATAAGAACAGAAACCCTACCAAATCGTGATGTAAGTCTCAATGTCGAACAACGTAAACTGGTCAGATCTCCACTCTGACGTTCTACAGTTGATTCTAGAACGTTTGAACATCATTACTTACGTTCGGACTCGAACCGTTTGCAAGAATTGGTACGCAGTTTGCAAACGAATCACTTCGGTACAGGAAAAGTCTCCATGGTTGATAATCTTCCCTGCCGGAAGACCAAAGTGCGGTTCATGTGTAGTGGTCGACTTTTCTACTGTTCCACTCACCGGTATATATAAGTTTTACAGTTTGCACAATCTCGGCGATGACTTTAGTACGCACAGGTGTATCGCAACTTCTGGAAGCTGGCTTTTAATGTTAAACCCACGTTCTAGTTTATACGTTTTGAATGTTTTCACACGCGAGAGAATCGATCTTCCACAACTAGAGTCACACCAAGGAAGGCTACGTATTGAGAGACGCCAAGAAACCACCTTCATAATAAATAAATCGTTAGTAACCGCAAGAAACGCTATTAACAAGACAAACGCAGTTTTATGGGTCGACGAGAAAACCAAACGTTACATAGTTGTGTGGTCGATAGGTTTCTTTTATATGATGTACACTAGGAGTGGGCTCGATTTCTGGAGTGAGATACCTACACGTGAAGGTCCTGAGAATCTACATGGATGTCAAGATATTGCGTTCAAAGACAACAAGCTTTACGTTCTAAGCCGTCAAAACCAAATCAGAATCTTGGACTTCTCTCAAGAACTCCCTCTAGCGTTAGCTAATAACGTTGAACATCAACCGTTTACAAATGAAAGACCATGGCGAGTTAAGATCGGAGTTACAGTCTCCGGACATGTTTTGATGGTTAAGAATCGGGTAGGTGAGGGTCCGAAGATGTTAAAGATTTTAAAGAGGGATCCAGAAGGGACAAGTTGGGATACTGTGGAATCATTAGAGGGAGAAGCTTGGATCATGGATCTTGGTGTGACGATACCAGCAGTAAATTGGACTAAACCAAACTCTGTTTATATCTGCAAAGATAAGCTTGTTTATTTGGGAGATGTTTCGACTCGAGAATTAAGGAAGGTCCTAGATCTTAACTGGGATCGTAGGTTAAGTCACGCGAGGTGGTTTTTTCCTAGTCTTCGTGAGTTATAATTCGATCAAAATATCTTTTGTTCTGTATTGTTTATTTCTTTCTTGATAAGTGTTTAATATTTGAGATTTATATTAATTTTTTATCAGATTAGGTGATTTTCCCGTGCTCATGCACGGGTATGAATATTCATAAAAATAAAATTTTATAATAATTGATTGATATTTAGTTTTAGTTTTGAATCAATTTATATGTATACTTTATATTAATAAATATTATATTATTCTAATTATACATATGACTTTAGATATATTATTATCGGTTTAATTATTTTTGGATCAATAGTCGGTTTGATTATCAATTTGGTATAATGGATAATATCTATTTTTTGAATTCAACTATAATAATTTTTATTCTAAATATAATAAAGCTTTGATTAATTTTCTTATTTTTATTCTTATTTTTGTTCTGGTTTTTATTTTTTTAAGATATGTAAATATATTCTTAGATATGTAAATATAATATAGTAAATTATGTATAATTTAATATATATTGTGCTTAAGATAAAATAAATAATAAGCTGAAGTGTTTGATTCAAAATTACATAAATGAATATAATGATAATATTTTGCAGTCTCATCCATATGTATAAATTCTAAAAAGAATTAAATTTTAATTGGTTAATATTTTATTTTTCTTTTTAATATGTTTTGAGTCAACCTCTAATTTATATGTATAAAATTAAATAGATTATTATTATTATCATAATAAAATTATATGTTCTTATTGCAGATTGATGTTTAATTTTGGATATAAATTAGATCAGTCGAGTCATTCATTTTGTTAGTAGATTGAGTTAAATATATTTTTAAATTTTAATTGAAATATAATTACTTTTTATTTTAGTTAAGTCAAATCAAATTAGTTTTATTTATCGCTTAAATATAAATTTATTTTCATAATATTTATTTAATCTTTATTTTAGTTAAGTCAAATCAAATTATTTTTATTTATCGCTTAAATATACATGTATTTTCATAATATTTATCAAATTATATGTTGATTTCTAAAAAATATTAGAAAATAATATGAACTTATAAATTTTTCGATGTACATGAACATAAATATTTTTATTATTTTGAAAATATATTTTATGTTATTGAAAAATATATATTAATAGGGGTATTACTATTTTGTGAACTTTCCTTTTTAATAAAGTCATATTATATACATAAATTTTCGTTTTGAAATTTTTTTAAAAATTTTAGAAATATTTTCTTTCTATTATATATGTTATTTGGAAAAAGGTAAAAAAAAACTAAATAAAAAAATAATCTTAAAATCTAATAATTCATTAAGGATATCTACATGATCAACTATCGCCAGAGTTAACGTGATCGCGAGACGTAGGAAACTGACTTCTCAAGTATTATTATAGAGATTGTTTTGGTGTTTGCATACATAAACCCTTTCTTGTTCCTCTATTTCGATTTATCAGACCAAAGTCAACAATGGTTTCTTGGATGGCTCTATTGGTGTTTATGCTCCATTTGGCAGACGTTCAAAAACTTCATTAGTGTCTCAGACCAAAGTTAATAATGGTTTCTAGGATACCTCTGGTTTGCTGTGTGTGCTCATTTGGCAGACTTTCAAAGACTTCATTAGTGTCTCATAACTCGAGCTGGATTCTACTTAAAGTAATTTGACTTTCTTAATACTTTTATTTGCTAACCGTCAAAGCAGTAACCACATTTGTTGCTATCGTCAAAGAGAAATTAAACTGTTAATTTGAAAAGAAAGCTTCTACGTTTTGTTTCTTTGTTACAAAATCTATTAATGGTAATGAATATTGAGAACAATTAATAAGACATCTATGCGTTACATTTATATTGTTAATTCATAGTCACTATGTGAACAAAACTGGAGATGAAACATAGGAGATTTTCTTATTTCTTGGCTGAAATGCTGGAAGTTCCAGCTTATGAACAACATAGCTAAGTACTTGCTCCTAATGAAAACACAAGATGGAAGAATCTGTAGCTGTATGGTATATCATCTTTTTCTTTAGCTTCATCTTTGGTGTTTATTCAAGCACACTAAGAAACACTGCTTCTGGTTATTAAACATTCACCTTTACATAAAGCAAATAGAGATCATACTTCTTATAATCCATTTAGGTTTTTATTCAAACACACTAAAAACAGGGAGGCAACACAGCTGTCTCATAAGATGAAATAGGAACTTTATATAGAACACTAATTTTTATCCCAAACATACATGAGCTTCATCGGCTCACCGGTTTTTGAAAAGTAAATAGCGTCATCTCGTGCTTCCCATATGTATAACAGGCCACATTGAATAAACGTACCTTCTACATATGCCACAAACTCTTTATGATATTCAAGATTAGCCCCCTTCCACAAGTTACATTCGAATCTTGTAAAAATAACGACATCATCGTGAAAACTAAAATTGTATGCAACTTCTCGAAATCTCAGAAAATGCTCGCCTAGATCATCATCTCTGGATTTGCAATGGACTTTGAGAATACTACGGCTAAGTGCAAGGTTGTTTTGAAAAGCTACAGTGTTTTTAACACACGTCGCTTCATTCGACTCAACATGCAAAGAAAATATAAGATACAGAAAAATAAATACAAGCTTCATTTTTCTTTTAGTTAATTGTGTATGTCTCTACAGATTTATAGACTTCATAGTACATAGGTTTCTCAGACCAAATTCAACAATGGTTTCTTGGATACCAAATTCAACAATACTTTTTCTTTTGTTTTTTTCGAAAAAGGGCATTCTAAATTCAACAATACTTTCAAAGACTTCATTAGTGTCTCTTAACTCGAGCTGGAATCTACTTAAAATAGGTTGACTTTCTTAATACTTTTATTTTCTACCGTCAATGCAGTAACCACATTTGTTGCTATCGTCAAAGAGAAAGTTAATTGTCAATTTAAAAAGAATGCTTCTACGTTTTGTTTCTTGGTTACAAAACCTATTAATGGTGAGATTTTTTTTCTTGTTATTGCAAGAAGAGTTGAGCCTTCGGCTTCAATATCCCTTTTTGGCCCGGAGCCAATCTTTGACTTTTTTTTTTTTTGATAAATCCTATCCGTTATTCTAATGCATAATGTATTCTTCTCTTTAAAAAAACAATTCTCTATGATTGCTTCTTCATAATTACAAGTCGAAGATTCTATCAGATTTTACAAAGGATCTTTTTCAGAGTACTACTATCAGACATGAAGTGATTTTCAATATGAAAATCTATATTCTTGTGGACAAAGGTAAACACATTTACATTTGTAATTCTGATGTATAAAACTGTTTAAAATGAAGCTCAGTTTTGTATATAATTTTTCTATAGCAAGGAAATAGAAATCAAGATTTTGGTGAAACAAAACATGATAGAAGTTAAAAAAGAATTACAAAATGAGAATGCTGTTAATTTCTCTGATGTCATATAAGTGAGGTTCCTTAGGGGGAACAAATTCCAACTTAAATACTTAGTGTTTATGTATATTTTATTCTAAAGTTTGTTAACTTTACTAACTTACCTATGATTTTTTTTTGCAGATGTATAAGTAGGATCTAAAAAAGTGTGTGCAGGTAAATATTCATTTAAGAGATTATAGTGACAATTTACACACATTTGAAATACAGTAAAATTGATTGAGCCGTGCTAGGCACGGGAGTCATACTAGTAATAAATAAATCGTTAGTAACCGCAAGAAACGCTATTAACAAGACAAACGCGGTTTTATGGGTCGACGAGAAAACCAAAGGCTACGTAGTTGTCTGGTCGATAGGTTTCTTTTATATGATGTACACTAGGAGTGGGTTACGTTTCTGGAGTGAGATACCGACACGTGAAGGTCCTGAGAATCTACATGGATGTCAAGATATTGCGTTCAAAGACAACAAGCTTTACGTTCTAAGCCGACAAAACCAAATCAGAATCTTGGACTTCTCTCAAGAACTCCCTCTAGCGTTAGCTAATAACGTTGAACATCAACCGTTTACAAATGAAAGACCATGGCGAGTTAAGATCGGAGTTACAGTCTCCGGACATGTTTTGATGGTTAAGAATCGGGTAGGTGAGGGTCCGAAGATGTTAAAGATTTTAAAGAGGGATCCAGAAGGGACAAGTTGGGATACTGTGGAGTCATTAGAGGGAGAAGCTTGGATCATGGATCTTGGTGTGACGATACCAGCAGTAAATTGGACTAAACCAAACTCGGTTTATATCTGCAAAGATAAGCATGTTTATTTGGGAGATGTTTCGACTCGAATGTTGGGGAGGGTCCTAGATGTCAACTTGAATCGTAGGTTAAGTCACGCGAGGTGGTTTATTCCTAGTCTTCGTGAGTTATAATTCGATCAAAATATCTTTTGTTCTGTATTGTTTATATATCTCTTGATTAGTGTTTATTAATTGAGATTTATATTATTTATACTAGGAAACCACCCCGCGCGTAAACATGCGGGAGAAAAGATGTTTTTTTTAAAAGTAATTTTTAAATAATTTATATTTGTTACTCAATCATTTTGAATCATTTAATAAACTAATTATTTTGTACGAAAATCAATACTTAAAAAATAATCTTATATAATAGAAGAGTGAAAGTATAATATGTGTTTGAAAATGTATAAATTTAAATGTTATGTGTTTAGCATAACAATATTAAGTAAACTTTAATATTAAAGTCGCATTCATTTTCTTTTATCTTTTTATATATGAGAACACAAACTTTTAAATTTGTTGAAATGATGGAACAGTTTAAACCTTTTAATTAAATAATATAATATGTTTTAATACACTGTAATTAACATGCAAAGAACGACATTTTTAAATCTATGACGCTCAGTACCTCCATACAAACTGGGTTAGAAAAACAAAAAAAAATGGACTTTATCAGAAGAAGAATAAGAGATTACAAAAAA